GAGACGTTGCTTCCTCTCCCCCCCGAACCTCCTTATCACCCGAAGGGTGGTCGTATAGGTATGATGATTATGCTGCTGCTGCTGCTGATGATGATGATGATGATGATGATGAGGATGATGATGATGATGATGATGATGATGATGATGATGATGATGGTGGAGGTGGTGGTGGTGGTTGTGGTTGTGGTGGTGTTGGCTGTTGTGATGTTGTTGGTGATGTTGTTGATGATGATGATGATGATGATGATGATGATGATGATGATGGTGGTGGTGGTGAGGAGGAGGTAGCGGAGCAGATGGTGGAGGAGGAGGAGGAGCCACGTGCGCCCGAAAGATTCCTGGAGGGGCAGGCCCCCAGGATCACCGCGGCGGTGGACACCGAAGCGCCCGGCCCCCTCCGTTGGCGCCCGCGCGCGCCATATCCACAACTTCCAGGACCTGATCGTTGATCTCGCCGCCCCGCTCGGGCCCACGGCGACATCCACGACAGCCAGATCCAGTAGCTCCGCCTGGCACAGGCGGCTCCGAAACAAGACAGCGAACGCTCGCACGCTGCTTTGAGTCCTGAGGGCTCAGCAGCTCCTTGTGCACCACCACAGCGCAGAGCAACCAGCAGGACTTCGGGCAGCCACCGTGGCGCCGAAGTACCAACCCAAGCGGCAACCACCCCCGGAACGATCACAACAATCACTGAAGCTGGCAGAGCGGCCCAAATCAGCAGACCGCGCAGGCCTGGCCAGGTGGATGCAACGCAAACCCTACTGGAACTGGCCAGGTGGATGCAACGCAAACCCTACTGGAACTCGAAGACCGACAAGAACACCCAGAAGGACAAGAGCCGTACCACGAAGCACGATATGGAGGAAAACCGCTGGGACGACAACGAGAAGACGACCATGCAGCACCACGCCGAGACCATCATCTGGGTCGTCTTACCTAGGAGGCAGAGGGGCGCGACCAACCACCCCCAACGGGAGGAATCGCCAAGATCCTCGTTCTTTTGCTCTACATGGAGGAACAACAAGCTCCAGATGCTCAAGCTCTACGCGCTTGTCGCGCTTAGGAACATCCGCGCTGAACTCCCTATTGAGGACTCCTTCAACATGATTGCGCTTGCCAAAGCCAAGATCCAAAACAGCTTCCCCATTTAGCGACCATATCAAGGCCCGCCATGAATACAGGAATACATTCAAGGACGCACGAAAGGAATTCTGGCAAGTGTGAAAAACACGACTATGCGTGGCTCTAAGGCGAAAGCCACGTTTTGACAACGGCCTGCCCTCAATGGTAAGGACGTCTCAGGTGAAACGCCCGGCCCGCCCTTCCGACTGCCCTCGGGGTGCGACATGGAGGAGTGATTGATAAGGAAATGGAGTGGAGGTGGGGGAGGAGAAGGAGGAGGAGGAGGAGGAGGAGGAGGAAGATGAGGAGCAGGAGGAGGAGGAGGAGCAGGAGGAGGGGGAATGAGGGGGGAAGGGAGGGAGGAGCGAGGGTGGGGCTCGCGCCTGCCAAGCCCCAGGGAGTTGGGCCTCGTGGGTGCCGGCCACGCCCAAGGAGCTTTGCGGCAGGCGCCAGCCCCAACCTTGCGCGCGCCAGCAGGAGGAGGAGGAGGAGGAGGCGAGGAGGAGGAGGAGGCGGAGGTGGAGGAGGAGGATGAGGAGGAGCAGGAGGAGGAGGAGGAGGAGGAGGAGGAGGCGAGGAGAGGAAGTGGAGGAGGAAGAGGACGAGGAGGATGCGAGGAGGAGGTGGACCAGGAGGAGGACCCATAATACGGTTGGGAACTTTGGGATAGCGTGTTGCTCCGCCGGTTCTGTCCCACCACGCTTCGGCGCGACAGGCTATATAATTTCCCCATTTCCAGGCGTCAACGTCCTGAGCCTTTTCGAGCCTCCCGCCCTGCGGAGCGGAGCGAAGCGGTATCCGCTCGCAAGGCATCGCGTGTCGCCGTGGCCGACGTGGCGACACGCTAATGAAACGTTCCCGACCATCTTTAGAAAAACTAGACGTCGGTTCTTCGCCGTTTTCGGTCTTTGGAGGCCCTCGCTGTGCCCCAGGCCCGTCGAAAAACGACTCAGGATGAAAAGCCAGTCGCCGGGAAAGGGTCTGAACTTCCAGGGGCACCGCTTATAACAATCGACAATCGAAACACCGGATCTCTGGGGAGGAGGGGGAGGGGCAGGGGCGATTTTTGGGGAAGGCGGAGGGGGAGTGGAACGCGCTTGGCGCGCCCCCGCCTTGCTGCCGCTGCCGCCGCTGCCGCCGCCCTCGCCGCCGCCGCCGCCGCCGCTACCGCCGCCGCCTCCGTCGTCGTCGTCGTCGTCGTCGTCGTCGTCGTCGTCGTCGTCGTCGTAGTCGTCGTCGTCGTCGTCGTCGCCATTGTCGTCTTCGCCGCCAAGGCCGCCGTCGCTGGCGCCGTCGTCGGCCGTCGTCATCGTCATCGTCATCGCCGTCGTTGTCGTCGTCGTCGTCGTCGTCTCCGTCGACGTCGTCGTCGTCGTCGTCGAGGCCCGTCCTCACGCGCATTCGCCGCATCGCTACTCGCTTTGGTTTCTTTGCATGCGGTGCCGCGTAGCGTGTACCAGGGGTTGCGCAGTCGCAGACGAAAGCCGAGTCCCACCCCCAGCGTCCATCACTCCAGACCTGGCAGGGGCTCGCATGGTGGGGGTCTTCTTCGCTCGCGCCCCACTGGCAATTTCGCAGCACCTGCTGGCGTCCTGGACCTTCAGACCCAAATCCTCCTCCTTTCCCTATCTTCCTCCACCTCCTCCTCCTGCACTTTCTCCTCTTTTCAATTTTGGTTCGACAAACTAGCAGATCTAACCATACATAGGTTTCGAGGATGTCGAGGTTCCCGTCGGATCCTGGAATTTGCGAGAAGGTGCGCCGTCCCACGAAGTTGACGTACTCAGCGAAATGTGTTGACTTGTGGAATCCATATAGTTTACCCGATTCACGCTTTGCCACGAAATCCACATCCTTCACTTTTTTTGACTTCGCGCCGCCCCCCAAAACTAGCCGGACGAAGGACCCAACCATATGCAGGTGTGTATACCGCAATTGTGATTCACTTTTTCGGTGGTGATCCCTATGAGGCAACGAACCGTGCAAGGGGTGTGCCGAAATGAGTGGCGTGGTACACAACGCGAACGAAAGCGATTGATCTGAGTACGTAGGGAGACTGAACGCGGGTGAATCTGAGCGCGAGTGCGTCTGACTGCGAATGAATCTGCGTGCGAGCGAGTCTACGTGCATGAATGCGAGTATGACAAAGCATGGTGCCATTGTATATGAACGTCAATCGTTTGAGAATGACTGCCTCTGGGCGCTGGGTGTGGGCGCCGCAAGGAGCTTCCCTGGGACTCCCCGACGGCATCGCCCGCGCGCCGCGACGCCAATGTCGGCGCGCCCCCCTGCGAGGATCGCGCCCGCTTCCTCCCTTGCTTTGAATCTTTCTTTGCCCGCGCACTCAAAAGTCCAAGGCTGCGGGCGCAGCGCAGCGCGGAGTCCCCGCGACGCGCGCAGGTCGCCCCGGAGGGGTCCCAGCGACGCGCGCGGGTCGTCCGCTGCGCGGAGCAAAGAGAGCTAACTCGCTGGCTGATAGCGGGCAAGGCTCTTGCCGCTGGGCAGAGCGACGACGGGCGAGCGAGGGATGGGCAGAACGCAGCACGGAGTCCCCGCGACGCGCCGAGTCCTTGGACACGTGTGAGGGGTGGGCCGAAATGAGTGGCGGGGACGCATGCGGACTGTGCCAGTGGGACCTTCGGCGGAGCTCCTGTGGGGCCACGAAACGTGTGAGTGGTGTGCCGAAATGAGTGACGGTGACGCGTGCGGACTGTGCCACCGGGACCTTCGGCGGAGCTCCTGTGGGGCCACGAAACGCGTGAGGGGTGGGCCGAAATGCGTGGCGGGGACAGATGCGGACTGTGCCACTGGGGCCTTCGGCGGAGCTCCTATGGGGCCACGAAACGTGTGAGGGGTGGGCCGAAATGAGTGGCGGGGACGCATACGGACTGTGCCACTGGGACCTTCGGCGGAGTTCCTATGGGGCCACGAAGCGTGTGAGGGGTGTGCCGAAATGAGTGGCGGGGACGCATGCGGACTGTGCCATGGGGACCTTCGGCGGAGCTCCTATGGGTCCACGAAACGTGTGAGGGGTGTGCCGAAATGTGTGGCGGGGACGCATGCGGACTGTGCCATTGAGACGTTCGGCAGAGCTCCTATGGGGCCACGAAGCGTGTGATGGGGTGGGCCGAAATGAGTGGCGGGGACGCATACGGACTGTGCCACTGGGACCTTCGGCGGAGCTCCTATGGGGCCACGGAGCGTGTGAGGGGCGTGCCGAAATGAGTGGCGGTGACGCGTGCGGACTCTGCCACCGGGACCGTCGGCGGAGCTCCTATGGGGCCACGAAACGTGTGAGGGGTGGGCCGAAATGAGTCGCGGGGACGCATGCGGACTGTGCCATTGGGACCATCGGCGGAGCTCCTGTGGGGCCACGAAACGTGTGAGAGGTGGGCCGGAAATAGTGGCGGGGACGCATGCGGACTGACCACTGGGACCTTCGGCGGAGCCCTCATGGGGCCACGAAACGTGTGAAGGGGTGGGCCGGAATGAATGGTGGGGACGCATGCGGACCGTGCCACTGGGACCGTCGGCGGAGCTCCTATGGGGCCACGAAGCGTGTGAGGGGTGGGCCGAAATGAGTGGCGGGGACGCATACGGACTGTGCCACTGGGACCTTCGGCGGAGCTCCTATGTGGCCAGGAAGCGTGTGAACGGTGGGCCGAAATGAATGGCGGGGACGCGTGCGGACTGTGCCACCGAGGCCGTCGGCGGATCCCTTATGGGGCATCGAAACGTGTGAGGGGTGGGCCGAATTGAGTGGCGGGGACGCACGCGGACTGTGCCATCGGGACCGTCGGCGGAGCTCCTGTGGGGCCACGAAACGTGTGAGGGGTGTGCCGACATGTGTGGCGGGGACGCATGCGGACTGTGCCACTGGGACCTTTGGCTGAGCCCTATATGGGGCCACGAAACGTGTGAGGGGTGGGCCGAAATGTGTGGCGGGGACGCATGCGGACTGTGCCACTGGGACCGTCGGCAGAGTTCCTATGGGGCCACGAAGCGCGTGAGGGGTGTGCCGAAATGAGGGGCGGGGACGATGATGACGATGATGATGATGATGATGATGATGATGATGATGATGATGGTGATGGTGATGATGATGTTGCTGCTGATGATGTTGATGATGCGGATGATGGTGTAATGATGATGATGAGGATGCTGCTGATGCTGCTGATGCTGTTGCTGTTGCTGTTGTTGATGATAATGATGATGATGATGATGCTGATGATGATGATGGTGATGATGATGATGATGATGATGATGATGATGATGAGAGGAGGGGAGGAGGGAAGAGGAAGGAGAAGGAGGAGGAGGAAACGCGGGGCGCTGTTTCTTCAAAGCGAGGACCCAACACCACATGATGGTTAGGAAATACGAAGTTCGCGTCGGACTGAACATGGTACACAGTTTCTGCGAACTCCACGGCGGCGCGCCTTTAACTGCAGAGCAAGAAGGTAGCTCTGTAGTTACATCAGAACACGCTGTCACATCCTCGCGATGCCTGCGCTTTGCCTGCCGGATTCACGAAATTCACAAACGTTCGTGACAGTTGTGTAATTCGCGTATTCTTTCGTAGCGCGTGAATTCCTTCAACCGCTTTGCGCTATTCCGCCGACCCCCAGACGAGGATATGTGCGGCTTCCGATTTCGTGTGTGTGTGTGTGTGCGTGTGTGCTTGTGTGTGCGTGTGCTGTTTGATATTTCCTGTCGTGCTGTCTGCGTGTAGTGGTTGCTGATTAATCTCCTCTTCCTCAGTATGTGTTGCGGTGCTTCTTGGGGGCCTGCTGGAGGCGTAGGGGGCATCATCTTGGAGTTTCGAGGCTTCCGAGGGCTTCTGTACCCTCCCTGCTGCCCCCCACCTCTGGGCGGGCCCGGGGGAAGCAGGGCATGGATAGAAGCACGCGGCGCTGGTGGCCAGAATTCTATCCATGCCCCCGCTCTGGCCTCTCGCTGGGTCGGGACGTGAGCATGGGGCATGGGTAAACTGTCGATCGCCTAGGAGAGAAGGGGGAAAAGGGGAAGAAAGCAGAGGAAAGGGAGGAGAGGGGATGGATGTACTAAAGCGTTGTGAGTGCATATCCCCATGATCCGAACGACCATTCCTGTCATCGGGCTCCTCCGCCCCTGCCTTCCTGTGTCGCGGCAAGAGAACACGTCGATCGCCCAGGAGCGAGCGAGTGGACGCCCGCCGCCCCCAGGCGCTGGGCGCCGCCGGGGCCGCCGCCCACGCCGGGCCGAGCGGCACCGGGGCCGCCAGCCACCGTGGTCACGGCGCCGCCGGCCTCGACGAGGCCGCGCCCGCCCCTGGGGAGCAGGAGGTCCTCATGCCCGGAGCTTCCTCTGCTCGCTTCGTGGACCGTTCTCTTTGTCTCCCCTCTCTTCTCTTGGTGTTTGTCCTGCCTTTCCCCAGCGCCGGCTCGGGGTGGGTGTTGAGGGCATCGGGGCGATCGCTAGACACCTTCCGCACCACTGAGCCACCGAGTCCTCATCGCCAGATCTCCAATGACACGATTTTTGCTCCCCAGCCTTGCGGAGGGGTTCCCGTTGTGTGTCCCCCTGAGGGAGGTCCGGGGGTGTACCCCTCGAATGTTCTTGGCCCCAGGCACGGGCGAGAGAACGGCAGAAGGCGGCCGAAGACGGTGGAAGTCGGCCACAACTTGCAGTTGCGGCTTCGGGCGAGCTTCCAAGAGGCGGCCCAGGAGGGCCCCAAGACAACCCAGGAGCGCTCACAGAGCCCCCAAGATTACTTCAAGACGGCCCTGGAGGCCCCCAAGACGCCCCGAGAGGGTTCCAAGAGTGCCCCCAAGAGCCCTCAGCCGTTTCATTCCTTGAGGTAAACGCGCATGTTTAGAGTATTTGGCTTATGACAGCGTCCAAGAGGACCCAATGCCCACCTAGATCGAATCGCCCCAAGACGACCCACGAGACCTCCAAGAGGGCCCAAGGAGAGCCCAAGACGCCAGCAGAACCCAGCGGAAGACGGCAGAAAACGACGGAAGATGGCCGTACATTTGCGGTTGCGGCCTCGGGCGCGCTTCAAGAGGCCTTGGAGAACCCCAAGACTACCAAAAAGCGCTCAAAGAGCCTTCAAGACAGCTTCAAGACGGCCCCAGATGCCCCCCAGATGCCCCAAGAGGCCCTCAGCAGGACCCCGAAGAGGCGTAAATCATGCCACTCCTTTGGGAAAACGTGTGTTTTTAGCCTGCTCCCCTTATGGTCTTCACAGCGTGCACGACGGCTCAAGAGGCCCCCAAGGTCGGCCCAAGACTTCCCAAGAGCCCCAAGGCGAGCCCGCAGACTGTTCACGAGGCCGGCGGACGACTGCAGATGTCTGCAGAAGATGGCCGTGAATTTGCAGTTGCGGCCTCGGGCGTGCTTCAAGAGGCCCTGGAGAACCCCAAGACGACTCAAGAAGAGTGCTCGAAGAGCCCTCAAGATAGCTTCAAGACGGCCCGAGATGCCCCCAGAGATGCCCCAAGCGGCTACCAAGAGGACCCCGAAGAGGCGTAAGTCATGCCATTCCTTTGGGAAAACGTGAGTTTTTAGCCTGCTCTCCTTATGGTCTTCACAGCGTCCACGACGGCTCAAGAGGCTCCCAAGGTCGGCCCAAGACTGCCCAATAGGGCCTCAAGAGAGCCCGCAGAAAGTCCAAGAGGGCTCGAAGACAGTTTAAGAGAGCCCCAAGACAGCCCAAGAGAGGCCCCAGAGGTCTCCCAAAGGCTCCCAAGAGAACCCCAAGATCGGCCCAAGACCGCCCAAGAGGTGCTCAAGAGCCCGAAGACAGTCCAAGAGACTCCAGAGGGCTCCAAAAGGCTCCAAAGAGAACACTGAGAGCGCCACAGAAGCCCCAGTGAGGGTTCAAGAAATCCCCCAGAGCGCCACAAGACTGCCCCAGCCCCCCAAGATGGCCCACGAGGGCCCTAGGCAGCCCAGACGGGCCCGAGTCCCTTCTCGTCCTACTTCACTCTCTTTTCTCTCTTCCCCGTCCCGTGCCTCCTTACCCTCTTCAGGAACCCCGTCGAGGCATCAATCAGGCAAGGCTTCATGCATGAAGCGGGCAACGCGGGAATGAACATACGACTTCCTGTTTCCAGCTCTGTCATGGCAACCCTCTGTCTCACAAGTCAGGCCCGCCGTCAGGGAACCCTGAGAAGCCTCACTGGTCTTTCGAGCACCTCCTCCGATGCGTCCGAAGCGCAGCCCACAGGCTCCCCAGAGGCCCCTGAACGGCCCCACTTCGCACGTGCCCAACGTGCAGTCCAGAAACTCAGCCGCACAGCAAAAAACCTCGGGTGACCACAGCGATTGCACGAGCTTCCAAGACGGCCTTTCACACAGCAATGAGCGACCTACTTCGGCCCTCGAATCGAATCACACAATGCGGACACGCACATTGCACTAAGGTCGGGGTTCGTGGCCTTATCAGGTGCCACAGGTGTTGTTTTCCGCCTATTTTTCTGCCCCCGGGGGCCGTCGGCACACGTGCATCCGGGACGAACAACTCCCATAGGGGGGATTCGGTGGGGACATCTGGGGCCGCGGATGACACGAAATCATATCGGTGGACGCCAGGGCTCGGGGGACGTCAGCTCGACACACTGATCCTGGGCGGGGCGGTCCTGGGCCCAGGATGGGCCTGACCAGGATCTGGGACCAGCGAGGTGGTCAGTTGACGTACCCCGGCTCCTCCTCTTCGTCGCCTTCGGGAGGGGAGTGGGTGGGTGAAAAGACCCCTGTCGCTCCTCATCATTCCTCCTCCTCCTCCTCCTCCTCCTCCTTCTCCTCTCCCTCCTCCTCCTCCTCCTCCTCCGCCCTCCTCCCTTTTCAGGCTGGGGCCAGCGGAATCGTAGCATATCTCCGTCCGCGAGGCTCTCGAGACGCACTCGTGAGCCCAGGGGCCGCTTGCTGTCCAGTCCAACCTCCTCTTCCTCACGCCCACGTTCGCGCCGTGGCGTCTCTGGTCGCGGCGCAGGAAGGAGGGAGGTCTCCAGCAAAGACTCCGCGCGCCTGGGCCAGTCCGGAGAGAGACCACGCCCCTCGTGTCGGACGGGGGACTGGGGCGAGAGTTTATGCCATTCCGTGCTGACGGCGATGCCGGCCTCGTCTTCGTCAGCCTTCTGCCTCCTCCAGCTTTCTCCTCCGATCTTCTCACGCTCGCTCTTACGCAGTCGTGCCTCTGGTCCGTCTTGGCGGGCCGCGGCCGCGGGGCCAGAACAATAATTCTACTGCGCGCTCGGCGCGAGTTTTGCCGCGCGTGCTCTCCTCATTCGCCTTCTTCTCCTCCTCCTCATCCTCTGTCGCCTCCTCCTCCTCCTCCTCCTCCTCCTCCTCGTCCTTCTCCTCCTTCGCCTCCTCCTTCGCCGCCTGCTCTGTCGCCTCGCCCTCTTTCTCAACCTCCTCTGTCGCCTCTTTCGCCTCCTGCCGCTTTGGGGCTTCTGCTTAGGTCAGGACCGATTGCCCAGCGTGCCGCGCCGCCGGTTTTGACCGTGAAGCGAGGGGTGGTTTTGCCGGCAGAAGGCTGGCGGAAGGCTGGCGGAAGTACGCTGAATCGCCGCCCCAAGAGATGACAAGTTTGGAGGTTGAGGGATCGGGCCATATGTAGTCAGGCGGGGTAGCTCATGCCATTGCCGCCAGGGTTCATGGGTGATTGCGCGCGCCGCACACGCCCGCATTACTGCACGCTCTCGGACAGGTCGCGTGGTATGTGCCGCCGGAAGTCAAAAGCTATCTCTATCATCACCACTCTTTCTCGTCCACTGCCATCAACAATCTTGCAGTGGACCTATACGGGGCGTTCCAGAAAGGGCCTCGCCTTCGAGAGGTCGAAGAAGTTGCCTTTTCCTTTTCTGCGGAAGGCGGCGGAAGGCCGGCGGAAGCAGGCGGAAGTAAAACGAAGCCTCGGCGGCTCAGGATCGTTCAGCTCATCAGGTGAGCTCAGGGTCGCAATTCCCTGACCAGCTTCCTTACGTTAAGCAGCCATGTACCCGTGCGTTCTACTTAGTTGCAATGGCTGCTGAGGAGGGCTCTCGCTGGCGAGGCGAGCGTTGCGGCGTTGCCCGTCGCCGCAGGACCGCAGACAGACGTTCAAGACGCTTTCTCGCGGGAACAAGGGCGTATGGGGGAGAAGCGCGCCCTGCGAAGGGCGCTCCGGCGGATTCAAGTTTTCGGGTAGGTGTGGTATCGCGGACGTCAGTACACACGTGCTTCAGCAGCCACGCTTGCCCCCCCGTCTTCATCACAGATTAGCATTCCTCCTCGCACCAGGACCACGCCCTCTGCTTCCTCCCCCTCTGCCCCCGGCTCTCTTCGACAGGCCAGGCAGCGACGACGTCAGCAACTTATTAAACTTTGGAGCTTCAACGTCGAAAGCTTGCGGTCGTTGGATAGACTCGGACAACTTCTTCGTTTAGCGAAAAGCTCTGGAGTTGCCATCTTTTGCATGCAAGGTACCCAATTAGAGAATCCTGGATGTTGGAAATCCGAAGGGTTCCAGGTCGTGTCACTGCCTCGCACGGGTTCTCGGGGACGTGACGGCTGTCTTATCGCATTCTGTCTCCGTTCCTTTGCATCAGCGGAGCTCCGGTGCCAACATGTTTGGATGCCTGGCCGCCTATTGGGGATCCGACTGCGCCGAGCAGGACGCCGAGCTCGAGACATTTACGTGTTATGCGGATATTCGCCCACTAACGAACCCCCTCGCCCGCGAGTCGACCAAGACCCCCAGGAGGTTCAGGACGCTCACTACCGGGTGCAGGATAGTTTCTGGCTCAACTGCAGCAAGGCCGTCAGCAGTGTCCCTCAGAGGTGTTCTTTAGTGTTGTGCCTCGATGCGAACGCCACGGTTAGCCCGAACCTTCCCCATGTAGGTGATGCTGGAGTCAAACGGCACGACCGTCGCACCAATGCGAATGGTTTAAAGTTTCTAAATTTGTTGCAGGAGCACGAGCTTAAAGCCTTGAACACATTTGGAAAGAGGTCACGTTTTTCGGGGACATGGAAACATACGGTAGGAGATGGATGGAATATCTTGGATTACGTCTGTACCAGGTTTTCGGGGACTTATGGATTCAGCGCCAAGCCGTTGAAAGAGCTCCCCGTCAACTTAGGTGGCTACCGGGACCATCGCCCTTTGGAGGCGCGCTTGTATGTAGGTTTACGTTGTCGTCGAATTGTCCCTCCCAGGCCGCTGCGTTGGAATCGAGATTTACTTGCACACGACCTTCGTACCGCTCGGGACCTGGCTCTCGGAGATGATAGCCGTGCATCGCTTCCTCCTGCTCGCGTTACTGCTTTTCGTGATCGCCTCGGGGCTCTGATTCAGTCCAAAGGTTTGAACGGCGACTGGTCTGAAATTTGCGGGCCTGGCCTGCGCTATCCTGACACCGATTGTTATTTCAACGCCTTGGAGGGTGTTGTCGTTGATTCGGCCATCGATCTCTATGCCACCCCTCCCGACACCGCCCACGCCAGAGCGTACTCAGCCAGTACACTTTCGTTGGTGGCGGCAAAGCAGCAAGTTCAGCGCCAGCTGGCATCAATTTCCTCCACCACCTCCTGGCTTGGTAAGCACTTACTACACACGTACAATAATTTCGCCACAGTGGCGAAACGAGCGGTCCGCTCGGAGCGCCGAGCGGAGTTGTCCCGCGTGGCAAGCGAGGCCGAATCTGCTAATTCTCACGGAAACTTGCGACGCTGCTATGCAATTGTCCGTCGTCTCGCCCCGAAGCCGAACCCGCCGACGGTCAGCGTGTTGAACCCAAGTACTGGTTTACCTAGTTTCGACGACGATGAAGATCAGGAGGTACGAGCCAAGGCTTTGTCTGATATTTTCCAGGCCGAGGAGGTGCCCCTATCCTTCAAGGCTCAGCCTTACCCCCTGGATGCCCCCGATCTTTCTCGCATCATGGATTTCTCAGCGCTGGAGGTCCGAAAGGCCATCGCAAAGCTGCCGAATCACAAGAGTGGTCCTGTCTTGAAATGGTCCCCTAACCCCGACCGTGCTGAACCTGAAGGTGCTGTCGCTGAACTTTGGAAGCTCGGGATGGACTTTGTAGCCGAACCGCTGTGCCAAGTATTTCAGGCTTCGCTTGCCCATGCCCGTTGCCCCCAACGTTTCAAGAACGGGGAGGTGATCAGTTTACGTAAGCCCAAGGGGGACGGCACGAACGCCCGGGATCATTATCGAACTCTGAACCTCATTGGCCACGCTGGTAAGGTCTATTCGAAAGTTACGTGCATGCCCGGACTTCGCAGCATCACTCCCAAAGTCTCGCACACGCAGTACGGGGCCATCGCTGGGCGGTCGACTCGTGACGCCATCGCACTTGTTGATGAAATTCTTCGACGGTTCAACTTGTCTGGCAGACGTACAAGACGCCCCGCTAGACTACTCGTAGCTGTTTTGTTGGATCTTGAAAAGGCCTTCGATTTGCTCGACAGGGAGGGGATCTGGATGGCTCTCCAGAGGCTAGCGCTATCTCGAAACATGGCCTTGGCGGTGGAGGAGCTCCACGACTGCACTTGTTATGTTTTACGGGACACTAAGACTGGTCGTCCGTGTCGTTGCTTGAGGGTCGGGAAGGGCGTTCGTCAAGGCAGTGTTGAAGGACCTGCCCTTTTTATCTGCCTGTACGACAGCATATTGGCAGACGTCCACACCCACTTCGAGGACTCCGAGTTCCCTGTACTCAGGGCCTTCTTTGACCCAGCATTCGAAGTTTATCGTAACGAACACCCTTTCGGAGATGAGGAAGAGGGGGCAAGCTGCATTGACGTTTCCCTGGTTGCTTTTGTCGATGATTTGCTGTCCTTTTCCGTCTTGGAGGATTTTGGTGCCGTCAATCGTTTCCTTGATGTTCTCGTGCACGAGCTGACGGAAGGCAATCTCACCGTGAACGTGGCCAAAACTGATTTGCTCATTGCTGCCTCTGGTCAGGGATGCCGGGCTTTGCTTCGGAACATCAAGCAGCAGCATACTGGTGTGGTTCACGGGCACGACGATCAAGCTGTGTCTGTTCATGCTCAACCCTCTGTTCGGTATCTTGGGGTGCGGCTGCGTGCGGACGGCTCAATGGCTGAAGAGATCTCGAGTCGTTTACGTTCGGCTACTGTTGCTCATGGGCGTCTCTCGCAGCGCACTCTGAAGTCTAATATCAGCCACCGTCTCAAAGTACGCTTGTGGCAGTCTTTGGTCAAGTCGGTGGCTCTGTACGCTCTTGAGGTGGCGGTGCCGTCGAAAACTGACGTCACAAAGCTCGAACGTTGGCAGAACCGTAAACTCAGACACATATTGCGTTGTCCAGCTCACCTGGAGAAGATTAGTAACTTGGGGGTCCGCCGCAAAGCCAAAGTCTATTCTATTGAATCCACGCTCTTCTATCGACGTTTGCGATGGTGGCAACGCGTCATCGGGCCTGGGGTGGGGAAAGGAACTGGCGACGATACGACGCTGGCACTCCGTGCAGTTATCTTCGGGCGTCTATCTTTTGAACCTGACGGGCGCACTGAGACCACATGTCGCCTTAGACAGCTCACCGACGATCTTCGTGGACTGTGGGGCTGTCTGGCGGATGAGGAGCAGGAGGAGGACCGCGCTCAGTTTGGTTTGGGGGAGGGGCCTCCTGAGGTATCCCGGAAATGGCTCCTCTGGCTCGCCCAAGTCCGCATGAGTGCGCTAAAGGTCCTTTCGTTTTCTGCGTCCAGCGACCCGCAGGTACACAGGGCTGATCACCCCGTGTTGGTATTGGTTCCGTGCGATATTTGTGGTCACCCGTGTAATGGTGCCAAGGGGTTCAAAAACCATCAATTCCGTGTGCATGGGGTCCAAGATACTATTGATGATGTGCCACTGGCTTTCTTGGAGAGGAAAGAATGTCCGAAGTGCGGTAAGACATTTACCCGGAAAGATTCGTTGTTTCGCCATGTTCGTGACCGTTGCCAGGGACTACAGGGTGGTGCCGCGGTTGATGAGGTAGCTGTCCCGGCCCAAGGGGTTGCTGCAGCCGTCCACCCGCCTGCCCCTCCAGCCGCGCCAGGCGTGGCAGATACCGGCCATGTTCGCACCAATCGCCGAGGCAGGCAAGAAACGGTCCGCGGACGGGGGGGGGCCGACCGGCCCGAGCCCGGAAGAGGACGTGGGCGCGGCCGTGGTGCCAGCCGACATCCGGCGTTTCCAGAGGGAAATGGCGAAATTGTTGATGCACCACGAAGATTTCTGCCGCTCGGGGTCGCGCGACGACAACTTCGTGTTGTCACTGGTGACGGGGGCGCCCATCCAGGTGGCGCTCGACAACGGGGCCAAGGATTACGGGAAGACGGGGAAGGAGGCGAGGGAGGCGGCGCCCGACCTGGCATCGTACAAGGGGCATCCGAAGGGGAAGCGCCCCGATTGTTTTCTGCGCATGGTGTTGTTCCGGATGGGGGAGGCTTGCGAGGCCAAGTTGGAGCGAGTCCGCGTGGCCATCCAGCAGGGCGAGGACCCCGCGGCAGCCCTGGAGGCGTTGAAGGTGCTCCAGACGTACGCGGGCCGTGTCCAGGACCCAGCGTTCCACTTCATATCCACGCGGTGCTTCCACGTGCAGGCGACGGAGGGGGAGGAGGGGGAGGAGAAGGAGGTCACGAAGTGGATTTTTGCATGCAACCATCACCCGGACCTCCGAGGGGCACTTCACACCCTCCGCGTGAACGGCGGCTTGTCCGGAGCCAACCTGGTGCTGACGTACGACCAGGCGCCGCGTTGCAAGCAAGCCAAGTTGGTGGAGAAGCTGGCTTTCAAGAGCCAGGGCGGCGCGTCCGGGTTGGCAGGCGCGGCCGGGAGGCCCAAGAAGCCGAAGAAGGCATAGGCGTCGCTGGCTCGACGCAATCGACCGGTCCGTCCCCTTCGGCTTCGGCCAGTTTTGCGATGCGGGGGGCGAGATCGCGGAGCCAGAGGACCAGAGCGAGTTCGCACGTGGCGTCCGCTCGGACTCAGATAATACCGAGTAGCACGACCCAGATTACACGATCGGGGGCCCTGAGGGCGAGCCCGGGTGCCACGAGGGCGACTTCCCAAGCTTGTTCTCCTGAGTCTTTCGCTTCTGAGCCTGCGCCTTCCGCCCTCTGTCCTCCCCCTCCTGGCCTCCCCTCCCCCCCCCCCCGCCCCCGCCCCTCCTCCGAGGCAGCGGCCCCTCACTGACTTTTTCGGTCGTTCTGATCCCCGGAGGTCTTAGAGGGTTGTTCTGATGGGCCGCCTTGGGGTCGCGCCTCACGAATGTGTGCCGCCGGAGAAAACGACCCATTTCAGCCAAAAGGGGTCGTTTTTCGCAGGGTCCCGCGGCATTGCATTTTCGTGTCGACTTGTATGTCCGAGCTCACAATATTATTTTCCTTGCGCGTTTCGGTGTGAATGCTTTTCTAGTGGGGAGGCTGTGGCCCCCGCCCTCCTCAGGGGAGGGGGGGGGGCCGCCCTTACAGAGCCGTCCTCCTGCTGGAGGGCGCGTAGGGGCGGGGCTGGGGCACGAAGATACCCACCTGCCTTTGCTCGCCCTTCGTCGGGCTTCTGCTTGAGCATAGTGCCTATTCCAGCGCCGTCCACACGGTAGTTTAGAGCCCCTCACTAGACCTCCTGCGCCGACGGATCATTGGGGGTAGTGCGCGCGTGTGGAAGTAAAACGAGGGCAGTTCTGCCAGCGGAAGGCTTGCGAAAGCATCCTCATGATATGACAACGTTTTAGGGGTACAGGGTTTCCGGATCGGGCCATATGACAGTAACAAGGGTATTCGGATCACGGAGTGCAGAGGCAGGTGAGACTGGCACAGGGAGCTCGCTCTCACACCCTCGATAAACATCAACGGCATCAGCACAACCTTCCAGAGGTCCGCGCGGATTCCTGGGGCGTCGCTGGACCACGCGCCAGTGAAGGGGAGTCTAGCGCCGACCCCGCGAGGTCTGCGCTGGCCTCCAAACGCTTGTGCTGATGGAGTTTCTCGCCATTCTGCGCCACTGCCTCCCTCAGCAGACAGGGGAGAGGCTCCCCTTTTGCTCTTCTTCCTCTTCTCGTCTTCCTCCTCCTTCTCCTGCAGTGAAATGAGGAGTATGGGAGGAGCGGGGAAGGAGGAGGAGGAGGATGTGGAGGACCTGGACAAGGAGGGGGAGGAGGAGGAGCGTGGAGGAGCGATGATGATGATGATGATGACGACTGATGTGGCCACGATGATGGTGACCGTGATTGCGATGGCGGTGGTGATGCCGCTGGTGGTGACCATGGCGGTGGTGATGCGACCGTGCCTTCAGTGGCGATGACAGCGGTGGTGGTGATGACTGTGACAGCGATCCTCTTCAGGCGAGGAGCACCGTCGGCGAGCTGGCGCGGCTGGCCGCCCCTGGCGAGGCCTCGCCCCCCTCCTCCCCCCGGCCCGAGGACGGTCGGAGGATATGAGCTTGAAATCGCTCGGACGTGTGCATATTCTCTCGGCTAGGACCATCGAGGAACATTTGAGGTCATCATCTTGTGAAACATGCACGCACGAAGCCGACAAATGCACGGGGAATGGACGTCTGAGCGATGGCGAGTGGTGAGGGGGGGAGGGAGGCTGTGACCCTGCATGGGGAACCCAGGGGCCCATGTGAGCACCCGACGAGAACGGGGCCGACTGCGCTAACATGGGCATTGGCGTGTAAGCTCCCCGCGTGAGGTCGTGCGTGAGCGCCCTCGTTCTCCACGCGGTGTGCCGCGCTTGCGGCCTGCGTGAGCCACCGCGTACGGCCACCATGCCATCCCGCGTAAGAGCCGTTTCTCTTCGCAGCTTGTGTGTGCAGTTCCAGAAAGGGTCTCGCCCTCGAGGCGTCTCATAATACCATTGCCGCTCGAGTTCATGGGTGACTGCGCGCGCCGCGGACAGGTTGCATGGTATGTGCCGCCAGGAGTGAAAATCTATCTCTCTCATCACCACGCTATCTCGTCCACTGCCATCAACAATCTTGCAGTGGACCGATAAGGGGCGTTCCAGAAAGGGCCTCGCCTTCTAGGGGTCGAAGGAGTTGGCATTTCCTCCTCGGCGGAAGGCGGCGGAGGGCCCGTGGAGGCCGGCGGAAGCCGAACGGTGGCGGATCCGTTGGCGGAAGGCGGCGGACGGCGGCGGAAGCAAAACCAGCCCCCCAGTCGACTCCTCGCAAGAGTGACCCTTCGCCGGAGTGACCTTTGGTGCGGGCTCACAAGGGTCTTCCCAACAGTGGCCTGCGTGCTTGGATTTGCCCCCCCCCCCCCCCGCCCCCCCTGCCCCCTAAAATCGCGCCGCACCAACGGTCACTCTTGCCTAGGGTCATCCTTGCATGTGGTCGACGAGATGGCAGCAGTGTTAGGTTAAGGGCTTCCGGAACTTACCATGCAACGGCGGGTGATGACATGTGCTCGTGTACACACTCTTGTTTTATCACCTGGAAGGCAGGCTCCCCTCTCGAAAACCGCCCGCCGCCTCCTCGGATTCCTGGCCCCGGGGAGCCCCTGGTCGCCCGTGCACAGGGATCGCTGGGCCGTCCGGGTCTAGCCATCGGGCCCAAAGCGGTCAGGTGGGCGATCAAATGGCCCTGCGAGAGAGAGGATCTTCAAGAGCCCGTCCACATGCAAAAAACATTGATTATCTGACAGTTCCTGTTTAATTTTTGGATGCTTGGTTCTGCGGTCCTTCTGGCTGTTCGAGATCGCCCAAGGGGCATCGAACATCGTCTCCAAACGACCCACAAGTGCCGGCAGACAGCCCAAGGGAGCCCCAAGACGGCCCAACAGGGCTCCCAAAGATGGCCCCAAGATGCCCCCCAAAGCATTCCAAATCGGGCCCGGTTGTTGAGGGAGGCCGTGGTTCGCAGCAAGGTGGTCCGAGGAAGCTCCCAGAGACCTCCTGAAGCCTCCAATATAACTTACAGGTTTCGTGATGCGCCCAGTGTGTGTGTGTGTGTGTGTGTGTTTTGCATGTGTGCGTGAGAGAGAGGGAAGGGAAACAAACAAGATATCATAACGACGGCGCCGACAACGGCAACAACGAGGTATTTATGTTTTTACCTGGTTGCCTCTCTCTCATTGCGTCCGCTGGTTGAAATTGAAGGACCGAGGTACATGGCGCCAAGCGCCAGTGCAGTCTTGACTGTAATCACATTTGGAGATACAGAGAGAGAGAGAGAGTGTGTGACAGAGAGAGGGGATAGATCGAGAGAAAGAGAGAGGGGGAAAGAGAGAGAGAGGGAGGGGCGAGAGAGAGGAGAGAGAGAGAGGTATATACATATACACCCATACATTCACACACACATATTCTTATTCTTATATTTTTATTACCAGGGACCCCCCCCCACCCCAATGAGGCCTCACACCCCTTGCAGTTTCCATCACCGGAACTGCGGGTGTCGAACCAAATCCCCACAAACCTGGCGCCGTACGTGCAGTGCCAGGGGCGGCGGCCCGTCTTCCCATCTTACCATCATAGGAGGATGCGAAGTCCCTGAAGACGGGACGGGGTGGGCACGAGCGGGCATCATAGCCGGCTCAAAATCAAAAGAGGCATCATAGCCTCATCAGTCTAGATTGATCCACTCACGGATCCACTGCGATTTATTTCCATTGAATTCATTCCATGCGTAGCATGCTCACCCCCCCCCTAAACCGGATCCTCCTCCAAGGGACGGCCGGGACGCCCTTTCGGACGGTTCGGGGGTCCCCTGGATGCCCTTGGAAAAGGTTCGCAGGCCTTTCCGGGCCTCCCAGGGCGCATTGACAGGCCTTGCGAGCAGACTCAAGGCGATTAGAAGGGTCATCGGAGAGGCGCAAAATAGACCCAAGACAGCACACGGGCGCTTCAAGAGGCCCCCCAAACGCCCCAAAGGCTGTTCAGAGAACCCCAAAGCAGCAAAAAACGTCCAATTCCCTAGGGAAAATAAACATTTGTTGCATACCCGCTTTGTTGGCCTTTGCAGCGTCCAATTCCGGCCCGATGGGCCACCGATATCGCCCCAAGACGGCTCAAGAGGCGCCCCACATGGCTTCACGACGGCCCACGAGGGCCCCAAGACTGCCCCAGAAAGTTTCGGACTGCCCACAAAAGACCCAGACGCCCCAAAAAAGCTCCCAAGAGAGACCCAAGAAACCCACGGCAGATCCTCAGGAAGGCCTTCGGAGGCCCCCAAGAGGCCCAAAATGGCTTCCGAAGACTTCTGGAGGGACCCAGCTACCCACAACGGCCCAAGAAGGCCCCAAGACGGCCCAGGAAGGCCCCAGGACGGCCCCCCCAAAAACCGAAACACCTAAACGCGGTTCTCCTGCGAAGTGCATCGAGCTCACCCGACGCTCTTCGTTCCACGCTTCAGGCTCGCGGTCCCCATTCCTAGATCGAGAGAGACAGGCAAGGGATACATATTCGAATTTCCACGATCCAAGATTTCCTGAATGTCAGGGAGCGGCCACATCGTTCCGACCTATTGCGAGTTCTTCGGCGTGTCATGGGGAGACTCCTTACTTCCTCAACGGATGAGCTCAACACCCGGAGGAGGCGGAAGAGGAGGTAAGGAGGACATAATGGGTAGGGAGACCCCTTCGAATTGGCAGATCAACAGCCAAACGCAACTCCTCTCCATACTTCCCCCCATGACTCATGACGGGCGGAACACACAGGAGGAGGTCAACGGGGGGAGCTAAGACATGGAACGACGATGAATAGGAAAGCATGCCTGCGCACAAGCGTGCAAGTGCATCGGACGAGGGCGGTGTCAGCAGGCGCCGGTCGCCCGTGCAGACCCTCAAGTCCCTATGCTACCACAAGCGATGATTGATTGTTTTGCCAGGGAAGCGTCTGGAACAAGGCGCATGGCGCGAAGCGCCAATGCAGTCTTGTATATATGAAAGAGCGTGTTCTACCGCTGCTGGCGGAAAACCGGGGGGGGTCACTACCGGTTCGAACCCCTCCCCCCCCCCCTCCGGAAAACCGGGGGGGGTCACTACCGGTTCGAACCCCTCCCTCCCCCCCCAAGCTCATCATGAAAAGGGGGGGGGGTCACTACCGGTTCGAACCCCCCACCCCCCCCTCGAAAACCGAGTGGGGGTGCGGACAGTGGTGGGGACGGTGTTGGTGGGGACAGTGGTGAGGGGACAGCGGGACAGTGGTGGGGACAGTGGGACAGTGGGACAGTGGTGGGGACGGTAGTGGTGGGGACAGTGGTGGGGACAATGGTGGGCACAGGGGGGACAGTGGACAGTGGTGGGGACGGTGGTGGTGGGGACAGTGGTGTGGGGACAGTGGGAATGAGGTGGAAACAGTGGGACAGTGGAGGGTACAATGGTGGTGGGGACAGTGGTAAAGGCGGTGGCGAGGACGGCGGTGGGACAATGGGACAGAGGTACAGTGGGGACAGTGGTGGGGACAGTGGTGGGGACAGTGGGGACAGTGGTGGGAACAGTGGGACAGCTCAGTGGGACAGCGGAGGAGTCAGTGGGACAGTGGGGACAGTGGGGATAGGCAGTGGTTGGGTCCGTGGAGACAGTGGGGAGAGTGGAACCGTGGTGGGAACAGTGGTGGGAACAGTGGGGACAGTGCGACAGTGGTGGGGGCACTGGTGGGGACAATAGGGACGGTGGTGGAACCAGTGGGGACAGTGGTGGTGAGGACAGTGGTGCTGGGAACAACAGTGGGGGATGTGATGCGAGCGGTGGTAGGGACCGGGAGTCGTTTGCTGGCGGTGCGTGAGGCTGGTGTGAGTGGGGGGTGGGTGGGGAGGCGGTGGTCGAACCGGTAGTGACCCCCTCCGGTTTTCGAGGGGGGGGGGGTTCCAACGGTAGTGACCCCCGGTGTTCGAGGGGGAGGGGGGGGGGGGGGGGGGGGTTTTCGAAGGTAGTCCCCTCGGTTTTCGAGGGGGAGTGGGGGGGGGGAGGAAGGGGTTAGGGGAGGGGGGGTTTTTGCCGGGGAGGAAGGGGAGGGGCGGGGGGGGTCCAGCAGGGGGGGGGGATTTTCGGAGAGGGGGGGGAGACCCCCGGGTTCGGAAGAAAAGGTTGGCAATTTTCCACAGTAAAGCGGCGGTGGATCACGCTCTCTCGTATATATATATATATATATATATATGCAAATCGAGAAACAGAGAGAGAGAGAGAGACCAGAACGATCGAGCGAGAGAGAGAGAGAGAAAGGAGAGAGAGAGAGAGTGAGAGGGATACAGAGAGGGACATGTGATTTCTACATGTGTATACATATAGAGAGGGAGAGAGAGAGAGAGAGAAATATATATATCTCTATATATGGAGAGAGAGAGAGAGAGAGCGAGACAGAGAGAGGAATAAAGAGAGAGAGAAAGAGAGAGAGAGAGAGAGCGAAAGAGAGAGGCAGGCCTTCGGCTCAGCCCGTCGCCGTGCCTGGGGCGTGGGCCAGTGGCCTCTCTTAGATGTATCCTGGCGTCTCCAGGGAGGCTTCTCTTGGCGCCGTCTCGGAGGGCGCTGGTGGGCCTCCCAAGGGTCTCTCGGAGGGATCTCGGGGCCTCTCGGGGGCCTCTAGGGGGGCTTCTTGGGAGCCTCTTGGGGGCCTCTTGGAGTCTGCTGCGGTCTCGGCTGCCATCTTTGGGAGTCGGGCTCGAGATTTCTGTTCGAAGGCCCCTCTTGGGACCGTGCTGGGAGCTTCTGGGGCCCTCTTGGAGGTCTCGGGGGCTGTCTTGGGGCGATTTGGGGGCCTCTTTGGCCGTCATGGACGGTCTGAAGACCAAGAACCCGAGTATGTAAGCATCGTGCCAAACAGACGAACGTATTTCCAATGATTTGACCTCTTGCATTGGCCCCAGGGCTTCAAGACGGCCTATGATGCCTTCCCAAGGACGACGCCGCTCTCGCCTTAGCGCCGCGCACATTCATGTCAAACAGTTGCAAGAGTTTCACGGATTGAGGGCAGGTGGTTTTCAACATGTGGTTCTCGCATTAGAGCCGCGCACATGTGTTTTAAGAACTTGCAAGAGTCTCACGGTTTGAGGGCGGGTGGTTTTCAAGATGTGGCTCTCGCATTAGCGCAGCGCACATTGTTTGTCTGTTCTTCCGAATTTGCAAGAGCTTCACGGATTGAGGGCGGTTGCTTTCACATGTGGTTCTCGCATTAGCGCCGCGCACATTCGTTTCAAACATTTGCACGAGTTTCGTTGGTTGAGGGCGGGTCGTTTTCAGGATGTGGCTCTCGCCTCAGCGCCGCGCACATTCGCTGTAAACAATTGCAAGGGCTTCACGGATTAAGGGTGGTTGCGTTTCAAAATGTGGCTCTCGCCTTGGCGCCGCTCACATTCGTTTTTATCTTTTCAGAATTTGCAAGAGCTTCACGGATTGAGGGCGGTTGCGTTTCAAAATGTGGTTCTCGCTTTAAGCGCCGCGCACATTCGTTGTAACAGTTTGTAATTTTCCACGTATTCCAATGATCAACGTACCAGAAATGGCGTTCTGGAAGAATTCAGGATTATGCGGGTGCAAGTCCCAAAAATGGCGCTCTGGCACGATTCCAGATCGTCAAGACGCAGCAGTCAGGTTGATACGTGGCGCTGCAATCCCGAGAACAATGCTTTGGCATGCTTCAGGATCTTCAAACGGTTGTCTTCCAACGCGGCAGTTCCCTCAATTGAAATGAACCGTTGTGGGGCCTATGAAGAGGCAGCTTGGAGGGAGGGTTAATTCCAACATCGTTGATAATTCTGAGTTTTACAATGGTCCTCCTCCTCCTCCTCGCTCCTCCTCCTCCTCCTTCTCCTCTTCTCTTCTTCTCCTCCTCCTCCTCCTCCTCTCCTCCTCCCCTCCTCCTCCCTCCTCCTCCTCCTCCTCCTTCCTCCTCCTCTCCTTCCTCCTCCCCCTCCTCCTCCTCTCCTCCTTCTCCTCCTCCTCTCCCCTGCTCTCCTCCTCCTCCTCCTCCTCTCCTCCTCCTCTCCTCCTCGCCTCCTCCTCCTCCTACCTCCTCCTCCCCTTCTCCTCCTCTTCTTCCTCCTTCCTCCTCCTGCTCCTCCTCTCCTCCTCTCCTCCATCTCCTCCTCCTCCTCCTTCCTCCTTCTTCTCTCCTCCTTCTCCTCCTCCTCCTCCTCCTCCTCCTTCTCCTCCTCCTCCTCCTCCTCCTCCTCCTCCTCCTCCTCCTCCTCCTCTCCTCCTCCTCCTCCTCCCCCTCCTCCTCCTTAGGCGAGGAGCGCCGTGGGCGAGATGGTGCCGCCCGTCCCAGGGGTTGCCCGCGGCGGGCCACGGCACCGGGACTGCCAGCCGCCCCGTGCCCGCCGGCGCGGCCCGCGACCAGGTCGCTCCTCGCCGCCCCTCGTCATCTCCGTCTCCTCCTCCTCCTCTTCTCCGCCTCCTCGTCGCCTCGCTCCTCTCGCTCCTCCTCGCGTTCCTGCTCCACGTGCCCCTCATCCTCGCTCCTCCTCCTCTTCTCCTCTCCCCTCTGCTCCTCTCCTCTTACTCCTCCTCCTCCTCTCCTTCTCCTCTCCTCTCATCCCTCTCTTCCTCCTTTCCTCCTCCTCCTCCTCTCGCTTCTCCTCCTCTCTCCTCGCCTCCTCCTCTCTCCTCTGTCCTCTCCTCCTCCTCCTCCTTCTCCTCCTGCTCCTCCTGCTCCTCCTCCCCTCCTCCTCCTTCATCTCCTCCTCCTCCTCCTCCTCCTCCTCGTCCTCCTCCCCCTCCTCCTCCTTAGGCGAGGAGCGCCGTCAGCGAGATGGTGCCGCTCGTCCCTGGGGCCGCCCGCGGTGGGCCCAACGGCACCAGGATTGCCAGCCGCCCCGTGCCCGCCGGCGCGGCCCGCGAGGAGGTCGCTCCTCGCTGCCCCTCGTCATCTCCGTCTCCTCCTACTCCTCCTCCTTCTCAACTTCGCGTTCTTGCTCAACGTCGCCTCGCTCCTCCTCGCTCCCCCCTCCTCGTTCCTCCTTTCTCCTTCTCTCTCCTGCTCCTGCTCCTCCTCTCCTCCTCCTCCTCCTCCTCCCTCCTCCTCCTCCTCCTCCTCCTCCTCCTCCTCCCCCTTCTCCTCCTTAGGCGAGGAGCGTCGTCGGCGAGATGGTGCCGCCCGTCCCCAGGGCCGCCCGCGGCGGGCCTAACGGCACCGGGACTGCCAGCCGCCCCGTGCCCGCCGGCGCGGCCCGCGACCAGGTCGCTCCTTGCTGCCCCTCGTCATCTCCGTCTCCTCCTGCTCCTCCTCCTCCTCCTCCTCCTCCTCCTCCTCCTCCTCCTCCTCCTCTCCTCCTCTCCTCTCCCCCTGTTCCTCGCGTTCTTGCTCAACGTCGCCTCGCTCCTCCTCGCTCCTCCTCGCTTCTCCTCCTCCTCTCTCCTCCTCCTCCTCTCCTCTCGCCTCCTCCTTCTCCTCCTCCTCCTCCTCCTCCTCCTCCTCCCTCCTCCTCCTCCTCTCCCGTCCTCCTCCTGGTCCCTCCTTGTGGTTCCTCCTCGTTCCTCGCTTGCCCCTCCTTTTGTCCGCCTTCTGCTCCTGCTTCCTCGCGTTCTTGCTCACGTCGCCTCTCTCCTCCTCGCTTCTCCTCCGTCTCTCCTTCTCCTCCTCCTCCTCTCCTCCTCATCTTCTTGTCCTCCTCCTCCTCCCTCCTCGGTTCCTGTTCGTCCTCCTCCTCCTGCTCTGCTTCCTCCTCCTCCTCCTCCTCCTCTCCTCCTCCTCCTCCTCCTCTCCTCTCCTCTCTCCCCCTTCTCCACCCTGCCCATCCCTGTCCTCATCCTCATCCTCCACTTCTTCTCTCCTGCTCCTCCCTCCTCCTCCTCCTTCTCATCCTCCTTCTCCTCGTGCTCCTCCGCCTCCTCCTTCTCCTCCTCGTCCTCCTCCTCCTCCTCCTCCTCCTCCTCATCCCCCTCCTTAGGCGAGGAGCGCCGCTGGCGAGATGGTGTCGCTCGTCCCCAGGGCCGCCCGCGGCGGGCCCAACGGCACCGGGACTGCCAGCCGCCCCGTGCCCGCCGGCGCGGCCCGCGGCCAGGTCGCTCCTCGCTGCCCCTCGTCATCTGCTCCTCCTCCTTCTCCTGCTTCTTCGCGTTCTTGCTCCCCGTCGCCTCGCTCCTCCTCGATTCTCCTCCTCCTCCTCCTCTCCTCTCTCCTCGCTCCTCCTCCCCTCCTCCTCCTCCTCTCCTCCTCCTCCTCATCCTCCTCCTCCTCCTCCTCCTCCTCCTCCTCCTCCTCCTCCTCCCTCTCCTCCTGCTCCTCCTCCTGCTCCTCCTCCTTCTCCTCCTCGTCCTCCTCCTCTTTCTCCCCCTCCTCCGACTGGTCCCTCCTTGTGGTTCCTCCTCGCTCCTCGCTGCCCCTCCTTTTATCCGCCTTCTCCTCCTGCTTCCACGGTTTCTCGCACCTCTTCGTTCCTCCCTTCTCCTCCTCCTCCTCCTCCTCCTCCTCCTCCTCCTGTTCTTCCTCCTCCTCTCCTCCTCCTCCTCCTCCATCCTCTTCGCTCCTCCTGCTCCTCTCCTCGCTCTTCTTCCTCCTTCTCCTCCATCTCCTCCTCTTCCTCCTCTTCCTCCTCCTCCTCCTCCTTCTCGTCCTCCTCCCCCTCCTCCTCCTTCTCCTCCTCCTATTGTTTTCAGACCATCGTGCACGGTCGATCGGGGTGGCTAAGTCGAGGTGATGTGAGTGAAGCGTATTTTGCTGTATTCATGTGTACGTGTCTTCACTGTTTGTACACTATTGTTTTGGGCAGTGGCAAAACAGGTTGGCTGTATCATTGCATGGAGACGTTCAGCAGTGGTAGCAGGCTGTGTTGCGGTCAGGCGCGATTCGGGTCTCAACGTCCTTTGGTGGGTGCAGCGGGCCTCACCAACTACATTGCTGGGGCTGGGGTCCGTCATCATCCGCTTCAGTGCTGGTTTCTCGCACTGTCGCGTTGGGAGTTCTATACTGTTTTCTTATGTACGTCAAGTTGGGCACAGTTTTCGTCAGCTACAATACCTGCATCTCCCATTGCCGCTTGGGGAGTGTCTCTATTTGTGTTGCTGGTGATATTCCGCAGTTTGTTTGCTGCATGTTTCAATTGCATGTGTGCATTTCTCAGTTCTTGCGTGCGTGAATGTAAGCAGTACTCTCAGGTGCTTTAGTCAGGTGGTTCGTTCCCTGTGGCCGTGCATATCGCAACGGTAATCAGGCGACTTTCGAGTACAGTTGTTCCGTGCTGTTGTATTTGGTGTTTCAACCGTGGTCAGGCGGTGCGTGGTTGCTTTCACCTGTCGGCACGGTTGTCGTTCACCTTTCAAGGTGTCTTGCATTCTGGTGGTCAACCTCCCGCGCGGAAAAGAGCCAGGGAACATGAGGCTACCCATATACTCACAAAAGTGAAGGCCTTATCAACATTTCCGTCAATACCTTCCAAGTGGTGTATATGTGATGCGCCACGTTTTCTGCTGTTCGGTGACAATGGTATGTGTGTCACTCAAGTGGGAGGCTTTGGTTTCTCGAGTGGTCGCGCGCGGTATTCGGGATGTTTTGTTCCTCCGCTTCGCGCGCCCCGTGTTCCTTGGCGTCTGGTGCGTATTCAAGGTCGAGGGGCGTTGGTTTTCCGATATGACATCGTCATGGCGTCCAGTTCAGTCCAGTCCAGCCCTCCTCCTCCTCTTCCCCCTCCGCCTCCTCTTCCTCGTCGTCGTCCTCCTTCTCCTCCTCCTCTTCCTCCTCCTCCTCTCTCTCCCTCCCCCTCCCCATTCACCTCCGATGATCACGTGGCCGTCCAAGCTCGCCGCAGACAGAAGTCGTCGGGCCGCAGCCGGTATCCGGTGTGCCCTCTCCCCGATCGGTCCCCGCCCGCTTTCGCTCTTTCCTCTTAACCATTGTCCCCGGGGGCGGAGCTATCGCCGATGATGAGGACCCGAGGGTTTTATGTTGTTCCTCGTTCCTTTTCTTTTCTCGGCCTTTTCGCTTCAATTTTCCTCTTCACCGCTCGCTCCTCCTCAAAGGGAGCGGGAGGCTTGGGAGGGAGGGGTGCGGAGCCAGGGTGCCTCCAGGAAACATCCAGCGGTACGAGCAGCAACCAGTGACGACGCTGGGCAGACCAGTCTTCGCACCGCTCTTCTGCTTCGCGATGTCGTGCCTGGGGCGAAGCAGTCCGCGGCAGAGGAACCTGGCGAACCGCGCCCGCGCTGGGACGCTGAGGCCCTCGTCCGGGCGGTCGTCAGAGGCATCCATCCCCGTCGGCGCATTCCGCTTTGTCTTTGGGGGCGGTGGGCCCGGCGGTCGTTGGTACACCAGGGGGATCAGTCGAGCTTGTCATGCAACGTCGCGCTGATTCTCCACGGGCGAGCTGGGGGGTTCGGCGTGGTGGCTGTCAGCGGGGCTGATCCTCGTTCCCGCAATGGACGTCCCTGCATCCTGGCCTGGCAGAAGAGGCCGCGCTCTCTTCAGCCCTGCACGAGACGCCGAACCCCCCCCTCGGCGCGCTCCGCGCGCCGGGCAGGGGGAGCCAGCGCCGACCAAAAATATCCGCGCTGGGCTCCGCAAGCTGATGTTTATGCGTTGCTTTCCTCTGCAACTGGGCCCAGCTCGGTCTCGCTAGCTGGCAGTCCTGACACGGGACATCTTGAGGCGTTCCGAGCCGGGGGGGGTGGCAGGGGGGGCGATATGTGGGGAGGTGAAGGAAGGCGCACCTTTTGTGCCCTGAAGGTGCCCCGAAGGGGCCCAAAACGATAACGAAAGGTGCACCTCTCTCCCTCCAGTTTGTAATTCAGCAACGCCCAACGTCTCGCCCCCCCCCCCCCGCCCCCCCCCCGTGATGACCCCTTTCCCCCCTTGGTGCGAAACCGCGTATGTACCTGTGCGTGCCCCGCGCGTGCACTATTCCGGCGGGCCCCAGGGGGCAGTCCTCCAGGGCGACCTTTCGGCGTGCCACCGCCACCCCCCTGCGCTGGCCCGTCTGGGTGGATGGTGCTCGCAGCTGGGTGGACCTGTCCCGAGGGGCCCCCCTGCTGCACGCAATCAAAACACCTGTTTGTACCGTCGCGAGGGAGCCCAGGGGCAAGGTGAGGAAAACGACAGACGACGACGACGACGACGACGACGACGACGACGACGACGACGACGACGACGACGACGACGACGACGACGACGACGACGACGACGACGACGACGAGGGCGAGACAGAGCGGGGGAGAGGAGGGCGGGCAGGGGGAGAGCACGGCGGCCGCGCCGCCGCCCCCAGGGCGGTCCCAAAGGCGAGCCCCCCAGCTCAATCAGGGGCGCCCGGCCGCTCCTGCAGGCAAGCGCGCAGGGCCGCACGCCACGTCCGCTTGCGCGCTCCGCTGGCAACAGGGGCAGCATGGCTGCCTGCGGCGGCAGCGCGGGGGACCAGCCGCCGTACAGCCGGCTCGCGAACCGCGGCCACCATGGCGCCCAGCAGCTGCACCTCAAGCGTGCGACCCACCCGGGCCCTGCGCCGCCAAGTGCGGGTGCTAGGCGCCGCCCGCGAACAGCGCCTTCGCCCCTTCACCGCGGCCGCCTGCCCAGCGCGGGGGCGCGCAGGAGGCGCGACGCCTGCTGGCGGCCCTGGCCGCGCCCGAGCTGCCGGCGCCGCGGCGGCGGCGACGGCCGCGGCGCCCGCCCGCGGCGGTGGGCAGGCGCCGCCCAGCGTCGCCGCACCCTGGGCCCGCCTGGGCTGGCGCTGCCGTGGTTGACCTTGAGGGCGGCCAGCCTCACGGCAACCGCCACGCGCTGGACCGCCGCGAGCGCCTCCAGCTGCCGCACGCGCTGCTGGAGACATGCTGGCGGCGGGAACCGGGCTCTCGTTCCAGCGCCAGCCAGGGTGTTCGCCGCGTCGTTTCCTTCCCAATCCTCCTCCGAAGTGCCCCGATCGGCAGCTGGGTGGACCTGCACCGAGGGACCCCCCTGCTTCACGCAGTCCAAACACGCAGTCCCCCCCCTCCTCCTTCTTCTCATCCTGCGGAGGCGTGCGCCCCCCAGGCCTGCTACCAGGAGTGCGGTCCTGCGACAACTCGCCATTTGTGTACCGCGTCCGTTTCCAGTGGCTTTGGTCTGCCTCGTGGAGAAAAACATGATTCCTCTTCCTCTTACTCTTCCTCTTTCTTCCCCTCCCCCTCCCCCTTTCCCTCCTCCCCTTTTCCCCCTCCTCCTATCTCCTCCTCCTCCTCGTCCTCCTCCTATCTCCTCCTCCTCCTCCTCCTCCTCCTCCACCTCCTCCTATCTCCTCTTCCTCTTCCTCCTCCTCCTCCTCTTCCTCCTCCTCCTCCTCTTCCAACTCCAACTCCTCCTCCCCCCCCGCCCTCTGCTGGGCACGTGGGCGGGGCGGACGCCTCCCTCTCTGGGCTGGCCCCGCCCCCGCGGGAGGCGGCGGCCCGCGCCGCCGAGGGGGCAGCGCGCCACAACGGGACCCGGCCGACGCAGGGTGCTGAGGGAGGGAGGGAGGGATGGAGGGGGGGGGGCGGAGAGGGGGAGTTGGGTTCGTTGGGAGGGCGGGGGGGGGAGGGGGAGGGGGAGGAGGAGCAGGAGGAGGAGTTGAAAAGGTTGTTGGTGGAAAACAATTAAATCAGTGGAAGAGGGGGAATTCAGGAGGTCAAAGAGGTTGCCAAATTTCTGAGATATGGTGCAGGTTTGTACATACGACGAACGTATGCGGCCCAAGGATGCCCCATATGAGGAAATCAAGGGTTTGGGGGGAGTGGGGCAACGCTGATTGTTAGGAGCAGCGCGTCCGCGAGGTATCACTTGAGTTTGTTGTGTGTCCCGTGGGCCCTCAGCTGAAGCCTCCGCTGATCTCACAGACCGACGTGCTAAGCCACAAATAATACCCCCCCTTCTCCTCCCTCCTCCTCCTCCCTCCTTCTCCTCCTTCTCCTCCTCCTCCTCCTTCTCCTCCTCCTCCTCCTCCTCCTCCTCCTCCTCCCTCCTCCTTCTCCTCCTCCTCCTCATCCCTTATCCTCCTCCTCCCTCCTCCTCCTCCTCCTCCTCCTCCTCCTCCTCCTCCTCCTCCTCCTCCTCCCTTCTCCTCCCTTCTCCTCCTCCTCCTCCTCCTCCACCTGATCCCCTTCCTCCGCCTCCTCCTGCTCCTCCTCCGTCTCCGTCGCCTCCTCCTCCTCCGCCTCCTCCTCCTCTTCCTCATCCTCCCTTCTCCTCCTGCTCCTCGCGTTCATCCTCCTGCTCCTTGTCGCCGTGTGGGAAGTTCACACCAGTCAAGGACTTTAAGACAAGCGCGATGCATGAGGAGCAGCCGTGAGCGCAGAAGATATCAACATAGAATAATCAGAAGGATGAGTAGCAGGATGAGGCGGAGGGAGAAGATTGGACAGGGGCGGGAAGGGAGAGGGAGATTAGGATTTTGTCACAACACAAGCGCGCCCAACAAGGTGCCATCGCAATGTGTTCAGGCACGTTCGCCAACACCTCCTCTCACGGTCTTGAGCCTGTAGCTTCGGGTCCAAATGCGAAGCTAGAATTTGATCAATTTCTAAGCGTTCAGTGCCTGGAGAGCCTCAGAGCCCAAGGTTTCACATTATTTCCTTTCGGTCCGATCGCCGACGCCGCCACCATTGCATCCTTCCTTCGCCAACCGTTCCGCCTCATGGTTGTTTGTCCCAACCTGACTACAGTCACCCAAATCGCCCCAGTTGGTTTTCAGAGGCCGTTTTTCTCAGATTGCTCAGGGATGATCCACGTCAAATACTTGAAGCTCCTCTATCTAGCGTTGCATTGCGTTGCATCTTGCGTTGCATCGTGATCTGCGTAATCATTTGGGCTCAAACTGTTTTGGCTCTTTCGTGATTGAGGCTTCCCTTGCGACCAGGCTCCGCTCGCATGTATGTTTGCAGGTTTCATCGCGGAGGCCCCTGCTGACGAGCACAATGCAGCGGTGCCGCCAGCTGCTCCTGTTGCTGCGGCTGTCCCGCCGATCGGCGGTGGTCGAGGTCGAGGGGCACGGGGCGGCGGCGACAGGGGCAGAGGCCGTCGTGGCAGAGGGCGCGGCTTCCAGCACAGCGCCGAGACGAAGGCGAAGATGCAGGCTGCGAAGTCTTCTCGAAAGGCCGCTCGAGCAGTCGATGCGCTCACTAGTCGGATTCATGGGCACGCAGACCAGTTGGTAGCGACCGTTGGCTTTCAGGAGTGTTCGAGCCAGAGCTCCAAGCGAACCCTCCAGCACATCCAGACGCAGAGAGGCCAAGTTGTTGCAGTCGCTATCGATCGAGGGTCCTCTCATGAAGCCGATCGCGACAGGATCATCGTGAGCCACGCCAGGGCTCAGGCAGACGGCTTGCGCATGTGGCTTCAGGATGACACTTCGTTTTTCTTTCAATTCACGAACACGTTCGACGATGCATCTATGTGGATTGCAAAAGAGAGCCCTGGTGACATTGCAGCAGCCATTGAGGAACTGGACGGGCCTTTGAAAAAGAAACTAAAAATGAGAGCTCCCAAAGGTGGTATGAGGCACACCCCAGTACTCAATGTATGCGAGTCTGTGTTTAAATTATGTGACGTTGGTGCCCTTCCTAGCCATGGTTGTTCGGCAACGTCCATCACGAGCCCAGCACAGCCACTACCACAAGCGAACTACTCTACAGTGATGGACAGGTGGAGACGGTGGACGGTGGGAAACGACTCCATCAGACCAGGGTGCAGCGTGGACCCTGACGGCACCCTCACGGCTGCTGGCGTAATGGATTCGCCGAAATGGAAGAACATCTCCGCTGTCAGGGATTGCTTACAGTTGAACTCCAATATTGTTGCAAAATGTGAAGATGCGTTTCGCGCCCGAAGGGCGGAACTTCAGGATGATGACCGTGCAGACGGGGTTCCGACTATATTTAGTCTCAATTGTTGTGGTCACATGTGCGTTCTGGGATTGAAGCCGATTCTGTCATTTTACCCTGGTTTGAATGCTCATGTGGTTCGTTGCGGCCATGTTTGTCAGTCGTCGAGGCCCGAGGTTTAGCCAGAACCCTCCACCCCCTGGACCCCATCCCCATGCCTCTTCGGTCAATCGAAACCCTGTCATCGTAGAACCCCAACCCCATAATGGTGGAGCCCATGAGCAGCTCTCAGTGCAAAGATGGGGTCCTGGGGAAGGGGTCTTGGGAGGGTGGATTGACTGGCTAACCCTAGGGGGTCGGACTTGTACGAAGCTGCTCTTGATAAGGAGGTCGACCAGTACTTTAGGTATCGCCCTGTTGTCGACTTGCCTGTTGAGTTTCCTGCTTGGAGGGCTCGTGCTCAGCGTGTGCTTGACATCACGGGCTTCGACATGGCGCAAGAGAGTAAGGATTTCATTTTGATGATGGACAATGGGAACTGGGAAGCCAGCGACGGCAACATGGATATCATCCACTGGTGCCCCTATGACTGCACGTGCGGCCGATCGAGGGAGTCGGCGCTCATCAAGATGAGAGCCGTCATTAAGTTGTCGGTGGGGGCAAGCTGCCCACTAGCACTGGAGTACAGATGGAAACACATGGAGAAGGCGAACGCGTGGTGCTACAGGGGCCGATCACAACACGATCTGATGGCGAGAGCGTTTCGCAGGGCATACCCAAGAAAAGCAATCGAGACTGCCCAGGCGGAGGTCGCCGACGCGGCCGCCATCGGCAATCCAGACATCCAGGCGAGTTCCGCCTCCAAGCAGGCCGTCAAGGTTGGCAAGATTATCTCCTACAACGAGAAGAACCCTGGTGGCATCGCACATCGAAAGGTTCTCGCTCTACAAGCGCCCATGCAGAAGTTCCTCGACTACGCATTCAAGTGCGAGTCGGCCACGACGGAATTCACGACTGCGGCTTGTGCCTTGCCCGGAGCTATGTCGGACGTTGCCGTTGGTGCGTTGGCGGCTGCGCGTGTAAAGCAGAACGAAGCATGTCGCCTCAACTTGGCTGTTCTTTCTGGCGATAGGGGCCGCAAGATTTTGTCAGAGCAAGCTGCTGCTGTTGCGAACTTTGGTCACGCCATGTGGGACGACATTGGCGCATCTCGGAACGAACAGTTTGAGACGTGTCTGAATATACTTAAGAGCATGGGCGTGACATGGCGTCGCCTGGTATTTTATTTCAATCAGCCGAAGTTCGAGGTACTTCAAGTTTGCGGGGACTTGGTTGGAAATGAGCTCGCCATTGATCGCATTGTCACGCCCATCCGCGAGAAGAGTGAGCAGTGTGAGAAGTGCGTGGACGACTATACTAACATATGGTGCCGTCGTTTGCGCTACCCAGAGACAATGTTTCGAGCGCAGTCTGCACTGCGAGTTCAGGTGGCCTCCACGCCCGTGTGCAGCGTCTCCGTGGAGAAGAAGCACCTCCTCGGCCAGGAGGTCAGGAAGCCAAAGAGTAGAGGCAGGGCGACGAGAGCTTCGCAGCTGATCAAGAGAACCTACCACAAGCTTGTCCTCAAGACGAATGTCCAGAAGACCACTGACGTGCACCGCAGGGTCCTGAGGACAGCATCGGAACGCAGAGCATTTGGGAGGCTTGCGGCATCCATGGCTTTGCAGAGGCGCGGTGTCACCAATCGCCATCGAGAGGCGACACGGTGCATGAGGCGTCACCGCAGAGGTCCGACAAAGACGTCTGCTTGGGCGACATACAAGCGCGTCAATTGGACCCCTGGGATCAAGCCATGCAAGGACGCAGGCAAGGCTGAGTCAGCTCGGCTTAGGCGCGCATTTTTGGCCTTGGCGCCCCCTTCTCGTGAGCATTACAACGCCTTGGCAGAGGTTGGCACGGCCGAGAAGGCGAGCGCTTTCGCGGACGCCCAGTCGGCAGATGCTCTCGGACGAGTTGGCGAGGCTGGCGGAGGCGATGCTTCGCGCAGGACGATTCGGAAAGAACAGTTCCAATCATTACTTGATCGAGTTCATGCGGATCCATCTTGGGAGAGCGGGGCCAAGCTCGACCTCCCCTGGCAGGCCTTGAGGCCTCAGCTGGTCGACACCTCATCTTCGAGAGAATCTATTTCCACAGCTTCATCTAAGATCTTCCACTACAGCAAGGACTCAGTGCCAAATCCGGCTGGCACTGCGATGCCTCAGACACCCTGCTGCATCAAGCACGGGGGACTTTGCGAGACAAAGGACAACGTTGCCATGATGAAAACTTTGATTAGGAATTTTCACGTCAAGCTGAGGCAGCGTCAGTTGCCTGTCTTCGTGCGGGTTGGCGGACCCAAGAACGAGTGCGCAGAGACCCACCTCGTAGTCGACAAATTCGGGCAGGGTGAGTTGCAAGTGCTTTTTCAATTGAAGGCGTCTGGGCCCGACGCCTACGTGATTGAGGATTGTGGCGTAGGTCTGCCAATCATAGCTTCCACTGCTCATTTAGTGTTTCGACGTGTGTTGGAGCGTTCAGCTCGCCTTGCTCACTGCGCTGTTTCAGATTTAGATTGCATGCAA